AGGAATAGCAAAATCGCTCTCCGCGTCTTCCCCCATTTTGTTTTGCGTCATTTCGTGAAGGACGCGTGGCTCTCAGCGTGGGTCATCCACGCGGAACACATTCGCGCTATGTGATTGGCTGTTGCCTAATCCCCCTTGAGATCTGTGGTGTTAAAAATAACTCGAGACGAATTACCTATGGAATAGGGTGTATATGGGGGATGCCCTCTCTGTCCCCTTTATAGTCTCTTGGTCGGCTCGTATTTACGAGGCTTAGTATTTGTTTATATTTCATTCGGGAGTACCGAGTCTACTATAGACCTTGTCACGGTTTTCTACGCGCCATCTTGACGAGTAGGCAAACCCGTGAGAAATTATAGCGTTTGTGTGAGAATCTGATGGCAAATAATTTCCGTAAAACGGTTGTTTTAACAAATATATGAACTGTAAACTAAAGCTTCACTCTTAAGGATTCCACTGAAAAAAAATTGAGGGCGTTCCATGAGCCCCGTAATGCTTAAGGAAATATTTCACGACAGTTTGAAAATTTCGAATTTTCCAACGGACCAGCTTTCTTAAAATCTTCATTCGTCAATCTGACCAGGAGCCTCTGACCCAACCTCCGTTTTCCAGTGACAGATGAAATTGGTGATATTTTAGGTTTTTTTTTTTGGTTTTGTACTTGTTTGCGTAATTTTTGTAATTAAGGGTGTTCCGGGGGCTCCGGGCCTATTCTCGGTTTTACCGACACTGTCTGGGGCGTCTGTAAAACCAGGAACAGGGCCGGAACATTTCCGGAACACCCTCAGGACATCCCGGAATACCCCGGAACAACCCCCTGACGGATCAGACCCTTTCCCCCTCCCCCGCCTTGGAACACCCTCAATTACAAAAATTAGGTTAAAAAATTACAAAACTAAAAAAAACCCTTAAGTATCATCAACGAATCAATAAATATCTTTGATCTTTAACTGGAAAACGGAGATTGGGTCGGATTGACGATTTCCCGCTACTCAGCGACTTCTGAAGATTTTAAGAAGGTAGTCCCTTGCCTGTACACGAATACTCACAAGCCATTTTGTCTGAAATATAGCTGAAAGAGCTGCTACTAAAGTCAAGAAAAAACATAAATAAACCAGAAATAAAATATCTTGCCGATTTGATGTCTACCATGTTCGAGGAGTGTCACTTATAAAATTCATTTATTTTGATTCTTGTCTTGCTTTCTTTTCTATTTTTTTTTTCTCGGCGAGCGGTAGATCATATATTGCATGGAGAATTCTTTGCTCTGTATGTGTTTCCTGGTATAGGGGGACACTCCCTAATTTGCCGAAGTTTCTCTGGGATAACTGGTTGGCGTTGGAAGATATCTGCCTTTGTCCATTCTCGGCCGCCTTGTCGTAATCATCAAGAGACCGCAGGTTTCGGTGGCCCATTACTTTCGCTGACAATAGAAGTTCGCTTGACGCTGGCGGTCTTCAACTTTTTAACCACTGTTTTAAGGGGCTGATCAAGGGGGAGGGTGCAGGGGTTGCGCACCTCCTCCCCCTGAGATTACCTGCGGCTTCCTAATACAACTGGTATTCGGCAAAAAAAAAAAAAAAAAAAAAAAAAAAACCTCTTCTGAAGTGGGAGGAAGTAGTTTTTCTACAAATGATAGCTTGTCGTATGCACGGAATCAATAATTGGGTCACAGGATATACTTTGACATAGCTAGTTAGAACCTAGTAACTTTTTCCAGGAGGGCGGAATGGATGAAAGGATACTGTAGGAGCTGTAAAAAATTGAACTTTTTGTTAAATCCTTTGCAAAGAGAATTAAATGATAGGAAACAATTCTGTTCCGTTTCAAATAAAAATGCAATGCGAATAATTCCAGCTTGATAACACCAAGGAAAATATATTAATTTTTTTTCAACATTTAACAACCTATTGTTCTAGATGATCTGATTAAGGACTTCAACATTGCTTCTAGGAGAATTTGCAGCAATTTTTTACCAATAGGAAATAAAATCTTTATAAAAACTAGCTCGGAGGTATTCGCTTAGGCCAAGAAGCTTACAGTCATAATTGAACTCGAATAGAAAGGTGGGATATATTGCCAGGGAGCATCCTGATTTGAACATAAACGGCGTACCCAGTTCAGTTTCAGAACCTTGTCGAAGATGACGAAATCTTTCATTTCTATGCCGCCTTCTTTCTTGGATGTTATCATAGTACACTAGTCTTTTTAATTTTTGCAGGTTTATGATTCAATATGAAGTCGAAAACCATTAATTATTCACCTCTTCAGCAAAATGATGCGGGAATTTCCAAAGAACTACAGAAAAAAGTGACCTTGAAAAGGGCTAGCGTTTTCACAATAGTTATCCTTCTGTAGACTGAGATGTCCCTTGGAGACCAATATTTTAACGTGTTTTTGTAACTTCGTGAGCTTGTCGAGGAAGTTTCTTCGAACATCGTACGAAAAAAAAAACGTTCCTGAAGCGTAGACGGCGGCTCATCTCTTATTTTAAGATCTAAAACTCCGTCCTTTCTGTGTCTCATTGAGCCAAGCCATAACATTTCAGATTTTGATACATTTACTTTCAGCCCTGCACATTTTACGAATCGGGAAAGCAAGCTAAAGACGAGGTAAAACATGAAAACGAGGGAGGAGGGGAAGAGGACTCTGCCTTCTTCTCCTCGCCCCTCTCCCTCACTTGGTCGTTTGTCCCGCTTCTCGGCCTAATCTCTTACTTTACGAAACACAAACGTACTAGGCAGGCTAAAATAATTTGATAAAAGATCAAAACTTTTTACCTTCCGAGCTGCGAGATCTCTTTATAAATTCTCATAACCTTTTTTCAGTTGATGATGTATTGATACTCGTTGGGTGAAAATTAATATTGCTCACTCTTGGGATTTAAAACCTGACATGCTCCGTTTGTATCCTGCAATCTTGCTATTTACAATTTTCTAACAATAACACCTAACTATTCAAAGTATACACCATACACTACAGCAGCAGCAAACAACGATCCATTCTTGAACTGAAACGAAGCAAAAGTATCAACGTTCGTGTCCCACAGGCATCTGCTTCCAATTCGCATCGCTTGATTGCCCAACTGTCCAATATGCACGAGGCAAATAATTTTATAGCGCTGTATGTTAAGATGTTTAACGCGATCTTTGACCTCGTCCGAAATCGTCTTCGACAACTGTCGGCATTTTTCGGCATCATACTTCGCCTCGGCTAGCCTGTCCGTTAAAATTTCCTTGAGTATCCCACGAACATCGCCCTCTGGAAATTTCCGATCAGGTGCGGTTTTGTACGTGTTTTCCTTCACGACCTCAGGTCCGCGACGGACATCTTGCCTAGAAAACGAAGTTGCCATGGACTGACAAACCGAAACACTGCTCGGCGGTCTTGTTTTACTAACTCCTCCGGGCGCAAGCTCCGCTTTACCTTTTGTCGGCTTCAAATTTTTCGCTGCTTTTTCCGTTTTGGAGTCTTTAGGCGTCTCTGTGGCCTCTGATCTTGAAACTTCTGTGCTCATTTTCGCTTTGTGCCACCAAATTTCGTCGCCCCAATAGGATAAATCAGCTGCAACACTGACGGCAAAAACACTTGCTGTATTATATATTTCTTTTAAGTTGAATGAGATTCGCCTTCTGGATAATATTCCTCCCGCTGTTTCGATAAATTACGACCGCTTCAAATGACGATTTGTTTTCTTTTAGTTGTTATAGTGACATGTTCAAATAATTACTTTATTTTAGCACAAGTGCTAATGCGGTTTTACAAAACTCTTCCTTTGTTTAAAAACGCATAATCTAAACTGCCACTAGCCACCTATTGTTTGCTTTCCTCTAGGGCTTTAATTCTGATTTATATTTAAAAACAAAAACAAAGGCAGATTAAGCGTATTTAAGCTTCGTGGTCTGGTGTAAATGAAATACAGAATTATAACCGTAGGCGGGTGTTGTTTAAAACAATAATACGTCTACTCAACATAACGTTTTGAAATTTAAGAACATTGCATTTAAATTAGGGATATAATGTGGATCCTTATCTCTCACTTTTCGTAATTGTTGAGTCCGTTCAAATTTACATCTTGTAACTTTCTGATAAAAACACATTTCAATTTCAGCTGTTTTAGTCATAATCGAGACTTCCAGAATCGACAACCCACTAAGCAGGCATATATACACCACCAACTTAGGGTGCGTCATTCGGGAAATATTTTCGTTTTACACAATGAAGCTGCAATAAGCGAAAACGAGGAGCCAGCGCGGCCATAACGCATCACGCATCATCACCCGTGATATATGACGCAAGTCCCACACCTGCACCTGCAAGAGAAATACCACAGGTATACCATCTATTTCTTGTGTTGCGGTATGTATGACCGCGGCAGTTTCGAGACAGTTATGAACAAAGCCTTTCGAAATGCCATTTACTGGGCAATACACGGCTTTTTAACACAACTATATGGAATGAAAACTCCTTGAAACGTTAAAACGATGTTTAACTTCGTGATCCGTAGAAACTATCCGGCAACTTCATGCTCGCGAGAGGGGTTATAGAATTTAAAGTTTGATCTCGTCTCAGAAAATTGAGAACTTACTCTTCTCGCCACCTTTTCTCAACATTTTCAGTGGGTTGTTGTGCCAGTAAGCCAAAGGAAAGCTTGATTTAACGCTTTTATGATTGAAATATCATTCAGAGAAACAAAGAGTTCTAGTTTTCTATTCAACGATTTTACCAAAGTGTTCATTAGCATTATCGAAAACAAAGGTGTTTTTTTTTTTACAAAACTTCGTAGAAAGGTAAATGTTTAATTATACTCGAAGATGAAAGTTTAATTTTAAAATATATCTGGATAGTTTACTTGTTAATACACTAAAAGAAAAGGGTTAACTTAAAAGTAGAAAATTTTGTTTTCGTGAACGTTGATTTTCCTCAGTCTTTATCAACAATTTATGGTTAACCTTATTTTGATATACCTACTAGAGAGGTTTAATTTAAGAACGATCATTCTGGTCAAATACATGTCAGGGCGGCGTTTGTCCGACCTGTTCCGAAGCTATTCCGACGCAACTGTTTATAAATCCTCGGGAAGCAACGCGGCTGCACCGCGGTAAAGTCGCGTTCGAATTTCACCGCGAAGGAGATATCGAACAAGAGAGCAAAATTTAGTTGATCACTTTTAAAGCCGATTGCGGGAATACGAGTTTTTTAATCTAAGTTTCAAAGTGCATGCCAAAGTGTAGAACAAATTCAGAACAATTTTAAAGTCTTGTAATGTTGATGACACCTTTGTAGCTGCGGTTTCCAGGGTACTACAGCTTCTGTTAACGTGACAAAACTAAAGAATCTTTCGTATTGTCATCTTTCTTCCCGTTTCACTTGTTCCAAGGCTTCTTCATATGAAAGAGGTTTGGGTCGATTCTTCCTTATGAACTGTAAAGAGAATAAAAAAAGAGAAACAAGTTCTGTATAGTTACTCACGGTTGGAAAGGACTTTTATGCTACGATCATACAAGTGGAGACCGCGGTAAGTTATGTTGCCTATGTTTCAAACTTCGTGTTGCTGCCGTGACGAACTCAGCTTCAACTTGTGCAGGGCATTAGCATGACGTATGAAAAACCAAGTCGTGCTACTACGGAACCGCGTACAGTAAATACAATATTAGAATATATTTTCAAAAGTTGGCTTAACCAGTTTTTCTATTCTCACGTTTTGTTTACGGTAATAACTAGTTCATTAGCCTGAAAAAACAGCCGACATTTCGGGACGCCACCACTGGATTCCCCGCGAAATGACGTCTGAAAAAAGGGGGCAGAAATTCCATTCTGATGACGTGCCGTCACCCAGATCTGGGTAGTGATACCTCGTCAGTATGGAATTTCTGCGCTCGTTCCTGGTGGCGTCGCAAAATGTCAACTAGTGGTCTATTATCAATGCTGCGTTCTGATTGGTTGAGCTACTACTAGGCTATATGTTATAGCCCACTAGTAGCGAAAAGCACCTGCTTTTTGGCGACAAAAAAGGATTATAGTCTAGCTTTAACTAGCTATAGTTGTTTTGTCTCGATATTTTTGACCAACTAGTTGGATTTTACTAAAACGATTATTCCTCTCGCCCTTCATGGCCTCCCAGTCAGTAGCCCATTCGGCCTTCGGCCTCATGGGCTAGTGGCTCAGAGCCCATTCGGGCTCGAGGAATAATTGTTAAACAGTATACCTGTTGTGTGTCCTCAAGAGTAGTGTATCGGTAGTTATTATTGAGGCCGCTTGAATAAGACTCGTACATTCTTTGATTGATCTCCACAAACTGCTCCACCAATCGGATCTGTTCCCGCAGCATGTTATTTAATACCACAATAGCTGGATTATATGCAGTAATAGCTAAAAACCAAGAGATACAGAAAAATAAATATCATTTTAGGGGGCTGGTCGTTTATCATCTGTGAGGGGTGGGTGTGTTTGTGTGGGTGGGGGCAGCGGCCATTTTGCTGGAGGGTCATTTACAAAATCCTGATTGGTTTTGGGGTTCATTTTCAATGTAACAGCCAAAAACTGTAAACATTTATCCCATAAACACTACAGTAAGTAAAGTTAGTAAGTGGGTGCACTTCGGCACGATTTGTAGCTAAAAATAAGAATGTTTGTAGTTTCTACAGCAATTGGGTGGGGGGCCACTTTCACAATCAGTAAAATTTATGGGGGATCATTTCTAAAAACCTAGGATGAATTGGTGGGTCGGTTTGGAAATCTTCTAAGCTTTCTCAAAATGGCCGTCCCCCCTCCTCACAGGTAAATAAATGACCAGCCCCTTAATTAAGAATGGAAAAGAGTAGACTGCGAGCAGTCTCTTATTTTTCTTTGCAAAGTTTCTGTACGAGAAACCCTAACACGCGAACGGTCGTGGTTTGCAATCGCGCTGGCTGAGATAAGAACTAGACGGGTTTTAAGAGAAAAGGCAGACTGCAAGCAGTCTAGGAAAAGAGTTATATTGTATTATTCCTTCATCCTAAGATCTTACAGAGAAACAAAATACTGAAACCAAATTCTCCTTACCCTCCATGGCTTCCGGTGAAACAGTATGTGTTGCAATTGGGGAAGGATCCACATACTGCATGCCGAACCGTGGGCCGCTTGTTGCCATGCCAACACCAAGACCTGATCATGGAAGAAATGGAAAGAACACATTAAACAGTGAGTATTATAGGAGACTAGGAATTTAGTCGGCCTGTCAGTTACAAATTCATGTATTGGTCCATTCATTAAATTTCACTCAGCGGGCTTCACGCATTTCCGTTCAGAATTCGCACATTTAATAATTTATTTTTATACTTAATGCAATACTTGTAGTCATATCTACGGGTCGTTTCATCAGTTGATTGGTTCAAGCTTTTTGCAACCTGTCCCTGGAGGGGTGGGGGTGGGGTACTCCCTTATATAAGCTATATAGGTATGTGCCACCCCACCAGGTCGGGTTTTTGCGCCCTTTGGTCTGAAAATGGGTATACAGTTTGCCCATTTTGGTCTGGAATCAGGTATGGTTTTCGAGAGAACTACAGGAGTGTATGAATGTATTTATTGTTTCAGTTCCAAATGAGTAAGAAAGAAAGAGAAATATGCGAATTCGAAATGGATTTGAAGAAATTATTGTTTTGTTTGCACTCTAATCTAAGTAATGATAATATAATTTCTGCCTAAGGGCCAGGTCTGAAAATGGGTATAGATTGTAGAGGTCAGTCTGAAAACGGGACTCACCATACAGTGTAACTATTTGCAACAAAATCACTGCATGTACAGTCATGAACAGGTACCTGGAGGTATTGTAAACTGGTCCACTGCAGGTGCTGTTTGGACTCCAACATCACACTTGTACTTGTTTCCTCTATCTTTATTCTGAAATGAAAATGATAATACATTAAAAATAACTAAATATAAAGATAATAATAATAATAATAATAATAATAATAACAACAACAACAATAATATGGAGCTAGGTAAATTCATTATTTAGAGTCATAGTCAAGGTTAATTCTTGATCTTGTACATTGTATGATGAGCAAAAAACAATTAATTAATTAAATCAACCTTTCAAAGTCAGTCAACAATCTCAAGTATTAAACAATTGCTTCACTCCAAAACTGGAGACTTAAAACAATGAGGGAGGATAGTTAGTTTTCAAATTCTACTTGGCAGATGATTTGTTAAGGCTTGTATCAAAGGTTTGTGCACAACAATTTCTTAAGTAATCAAAGATACAAATTCCAGAAATGTAAATGAGATCATGTTTTACCACTCAGTCACAGCCTAAAGGCCTGGATACAGGTTCAACTATTGTGTGAGATTTTCAACAACTTATTTAATAGTGACAAATTGCCATGAAAATTCTCATGGTTTGCATGGACAATAATTATTTTGAAATGACGTGTAAAACAGAAGCTCGTAAATTAAGGGAAGTGCTCAAAAGCATGATCAAAGCCACCCCTAATAGAATCCTGATGCATAAAAAGTAAAGGTACCTTGCTTTTGCTATAATCTGTTGAGGTCTCTTTTGACCTTGACCTTTCATGTGACCTTGAACTTCTAGATGACCTTGAAGTACGAGATGACCTAGACCTCCTTGATGACCTGGAATCTCTAGAAGACCTGGAACTTCTAGATGACTTAGAAGTTCCTGATGATCTTGAAGTGTTCTGTTCACTACCTGTATAAGAATGTGAAGGGCTATTTTGTGTCCTAACTTCACTTTCAGAGGAGAAGTCAGCTGTGTACGATTGCTGTGACCTTGTGCGATTTTTTTCTTGCTTACTCGCAGTCCTAATTTCAGCATCACTTACACTTCTTGGGGAAGATAAATGATTTCTTTCTGAAATGTCCTTATTTCTGCTGCTTGATCTATTTCTGTTTTTAGTGTTTTCAGCAGTTTCATCTTCAATAACATCTTCCTCGATCTCTTCCTCAACCTCATCCTCAGTCAACACTTCAGCTGCTTCTGACAAATCATTGACAACTGATCTAACATCTTTACCGGAGACAGTTAAGCTCTTTAGTTTATCTTCTAGTCTGTTATTAGCTAACACATCATCTGGTTGGTCATCATCACTAAAGGCAAACTCAGCCATTTGCAATCCTTTCATGGGGTTGATTGAGCTGTCAGATGAGTTGTCGTTTGTTGGTGTTGGTGATCGAGAAAACATTTGAACGTTCACCTTAAAATCATCGACATCGTCAACGTCTTCCAACTTTTCTGAATGAAGCTTTTCATCTGTAGAGTTGTGTAAAATAAAGTGAATAATTAGCAGCTTTGCAATCACAATGGTATAACACCCATAATTAAAGAAAAATCAAAAATGGTGGTTGTACTGTGCTTGTATTAAATTACTTTATATGAACGTTACTTCTTTTGTTGTTACCTAAATTGCATGATCTGTTGCTTGTATCAATAACCACGTGTCTGTGCCATCTATTCTGAGAACCTGCTTTTAGCCAGTGAGCAAGCTCTCCGGGGTGGGAAAAGGAAGACGAGCTTGGAACTACGTCTCTGGAATTTGACTATCTGCATTGAAAAAGTCGATGCGAAAGGCTGATTGGCAGCTATGACATTAGTAATGATGTCATTACCTTTGGCACGTGTTTTTCAATGTTTGTTTACATTCGTGTTCATATCTGCTTCATGTTGATTGGTGGAAATCTGACAGCTCAGTCAATGGGGAGCCGCGGTGACACAGCCTCTTTATTACACATAAGCTTATTTTCATTTCACCACTGTAATTTATTTTCATTGTTGACAATGAGTGCTTTAAAGTGCTATAAGCTCTAAGCAATGACTTTTTTGGAAGTATATAACACCAGTTTTACTTCATAGGCCCCTGCTTTAAGAGTTATATACCTTATTAATTTGTCTCGCTTGAAACAATATGTGACCGAGCTAAAATGAATTTGGCTGGTCATCATGTCCAGAGACTCTCCGGAAACTATTTCAAGTCCTGTCAGTGATGATCCATATTCATAATCTTTAAACTTAAGCTTAAATCGACCATTCCCAGGCTCTTAGCAGACTGGTGACGAGTGTGTGACGTCAATGTGCTCAACCTAAGTTTGTTAAATCACTCTCAACTTCTTGTTTCCTCTTTTCAGAGCTACATAAGAAGTCATGACCACAAAAAACACAATCTGAAATGAAGAAAAAAGAAGTGTTGAGTGATTTAATCTTTCTATCAAACTCAGGTTGAGAGCATTGACGTCATGTACTCGTCACCAGGCAGCTAGTGGTTCTCCAAGATCACGTCTGCTGGATCTCGAATTTTGGGCTGTTGCTTGTTTGCACGTGACGTTACGGCAGCCATGTTGGTGGTCAAGAAAAAAAACATTTCTCTCCTCTGGGAATTAAACTCCATTTTCAAGTAAATTCTTCGAGAAAAATTTCTACTGTATTGACCATCAACACACCACCAACATGGCCGCCTTGTCACGTGGTTGCAAGCCAAGAATTTTAGACGAGAATTTCATTGGGTTGGAAAGATATTTGGAAGCTGAAATTTCGATGAGGCGCATACCCTTGTATAATCTTTTTGTCGGCGAAAAGAAAAAACTGTCATTTTGGAATGAACTTCTCCTTTAAGCTCATATATTTTTTTTACCCACAGTATGCTAGATTTAGCTTGGGGTGGACGTCGAGGAAAAACATCATGAAGGCTCACCTATTTCGTCATCCATGCTAGAAATTGAAATATCTGGAGTTTTATCCTCCTCGTCACGGACTACCCTATCAAAACTCTCTCCTTTCCATAGAGATTTGATGCCAGACTTTTTCTTCAGCGTTTCAAGGTATTCTGCAAGTTCGTTAGCAGAAGTTTCCTCTCCCAATACGCTGCTCTTACGCGAGTCTGTGAGTGATTCTCTTGACATTCTCCCCGCCTTCTCTGCTGAACCCTTCCACTTTTGCCTTTTAGAGGCCATTTTTGTATAATTTTGTGTTTTGTCGGTGAGTGCCTCAGACAACGTTTTCAAATTAACGGATAATGGATCGATGATGAATCGGAATGTCTCGGATATTCTCGGGACCCAGTTTGGGATTTGAAAGGAAAGGTTACTAAGTCGAAAAACTAAAACAATATGGCGGAACTACGACGGATGAAAATGAAATCGGAAAGTTTGGGTTAAGTTGTGTTACAAGCTTATTTGAAGATGATCCTTGGGAAAAATAACTTCAGATAAGACATGTTGCCTCAAAAAGCTGTTGAGCCTACAGTTTGGTTTCCAAAGTTGTACTTTTAAAATGGATGCCTGCAACAAGTTGCATCACACTCGAGTTTTTGTGAGACTTTTGATGTGATTCCCTGAACATTCTTTTTGATAGAATGACAACTGTTTCACCAGAGTCTCTTGAAAAAACTTGCCTGAATTTTATCTGTACAAGAATCGAGGATCTGTGTCATGAAGAGCGAGATCGTGTCGAGGAATGTTTTGTTCCCACTGGAAAACTTGTTTTCAATTCCCCGGTTTTCTTACACGAGCAGCTTGCAGAGAATATCATGAAGGGTCTTACAAGCAGTGGACAGCTAACCAGAAGAACATTATCGTTATTTAGTGACTCCATGTTTTGCAGGATAAGGAAATTCGATCTACGGTGGACCAACAGCATAAATTATGAAGTCTTGAAACATCTTTTAGCCCAACACAAAGTTTTTAAAATAGATTTCCAAGGAACATCAATGCCAGGGCCTCTTGTTTTTGAACTTCTTAACTTGGTGTCAGCGACTTTGAGGGAACTCAGTCTGAGTTGTACCACTAACTATTTGTATTTTTCTACTCTACATCAACTAAGCTGCCTTACTCATCTGGACATTAGCAATACAATAATACAAGACGAGGAATTCAAGCTTGCTTGTCGACATTTGAAATGTTTAGAATATGTCAACATTTCAAATACTAAAATAAGTCGTACGATCTCATTTGGGAATTTAAGAGGTCAGCTGAAGACATTACTGGCTTATAATACACCCGTAGCGTGGAATAACCCTGTGGAATTTCGAGATTTTAATTCTCTTCAGATGCTTGATATTTCCAGAAATCCTGATAACATGAATGGATATGACTGGCCGTCACATTCTGAGAAGGTAGAGAAACTTCTAAGAGATCAGCAAGCGATGCCTGATCTTGTGTATTTAGATGTGTCTGGAACTCCAAGAATTTTCGATGATTCTTTACAGTTGTTTCTTAATTCCCATCCCAAGCTCCAGTTTCTTGGACTTTGTAAGACTGGATTAACATCACATGCAAAGTGGCTTCCTTCAAACATTCAGGTAATTCAGTAAAGGCGGAGCCACCCTGTGAGCAGAGCATCCTTTTGAAGGGCTGTCAACCCCCGACGTATTCAAATATTTAGAATTGATAGGGGAGTTATGGTAGATGACGTCGTAAAGTGCTGCACATGATGTCATTTATGCTTAAAATACTCTCCGATCGTCACAAATTTGCAATGACACAAAACGCGCGAAAAAGATGTTTTTGCCTTTTAACATATGACCTGATTGGTTTACTTCCCACCAGTCACATTATTATCATGGCATACCGGAGCTGTTTATGAGGGAACGTTCAATGTTAACACTAAAATTGCTCAAACAATGCAAAAGAGTTGAAAATTCATAATTGGAAAGTTGAGTCTACTGAAGAAATGGCAAACTTCGGCGATTATATCTGGGAGATTTCATACCCTATGGGAGATGGGAGATACGCTCCAAAATCTGGAGTCTCCCGGATTATCCGGGAGAGTTGACAGCACTGCTTTTGGGACTCCTTTTTGAGGGAGAAGGAGAAAGCTCGAGGCTCTACCAGAATTATCTTAAAGCCTTTGAAGTCACCACAAACCAATTTCCATACTAGTCAATCTTATTTCCTCCTCTCAAACTGGTGTTTCGATTTGAGCATTCGTCCAATAGTCGTAGCTGAGCCCACTGTACCACGTGCTCATGGCTAAAAGGCCTCAGGATTCAAAACTGTATCTGAGCAACATGAAAGCATTCTTAACAAAGATCTTTCTTGATTCATGCAGAATCTTTCTTGAAAAGTACACCAAAACTGGGCAAGTAAAAAAGTCTCTTCTGGCAGGACGAGGGGGAGCTAGTATGGTGAAAAGAAAGTGGCTACCTCACCCTGGACACTATAGATTTGCTTCACTTATTTTTAGACCAAACTGAGGCCCGGGACTGCCCCCCCCTCCCCCCCCCCTTTATCTCAGGATCGTTATCTGCCACTGCAGGCTATGACTAACAGTACTATTATTATTTTGTTACTAAATTCCAACAAGTAGTCTATTATCAATGGTGTGTTCTGATCGGTTGAGCGACTATTAGAAAACCAAAACAATGCTGGTTGAATCGCGTTTTGCTAGCTTAAGTTGTTTTGTCTCAATATTTTTGACCAACTAGTTGGATTTTACTAAAACAATTATCCCTCTCACCCTCATCGCCTCTGAGTCTGAGCCCATGTGGGCTTGAGGAATAATTATTGTTAAATAGCTTGGCTCTAGTGGAGCAACCTATTGACTCAAGGATGGGTTGAATACTGGCTCTTTAAAATATGAAATGACCAACTAAACTGTATTTGAAATTCAGACTAGGATATATGTACCCTGCCTAAGAGGGTGTCAGCTGAACATGTATTCACATCTACTTTAATACTCTTCAATGCTATTACACATCAAGAAGAGTTAAAAGAATAAAAATATAAACATAGCTAATAAAAAGTAATAAATAAATAAATAAAACATGTAATTAAGAATATAGCTATACTAAAAAATAAAACTTAAAATAATTTTGCACTGCAAACTGCTGAATATTAATTAAGTGATCTGGTTTCAGGTAATAAACAGTTCCAGTCCCTTATAGTTCTCGGGAAGAAACTATACTTAATGTAGTAATCATGATATACAGATGGTTGAATAAATGAATATGTCGAGTAATTTCTAGTTTCCTTAATAGGCAATTGATAATAAGGCAGAATAGGCAAAGCAATATCATTAAGATTTTACACAGATTTATGTCCAGAAAATTTGTAGACGGTGGGATTTTCTTCTCTCTGTTAGTAAACCCAAAGATAGGGATTTCTTCAATTTGGACATGCTGGTGTTATAACTATAATCATGTTTAATAAATTATTACAAACTTTTTCAGATCACTGGTGAAGGAAGTGAACAACAGATTCTCTCTGCTCTGCAAGTATATCCAGAGAGAGCATCTTACATGACAGAGGCCTTACGAGGATTATTTCTTGTCAGTAAGAACTGGACTGAAAGAAAGCCGGAAGTGCTTCAGGTATTTGCATCAGTATGGAAATTCCAACAGTAATATTATAAGTAAAATTGTGCTTTTGTGTGTTTTTTGAAAGCACCTATGATCATTATGCTGCATGACAATTTGTATCTGGAATGGTTGTTGATGGATGCAGATAGTCATCTTATTATTGTGTACAAATTATTAAACCTTAATTATGTTACTACAAGCTTGATTCATGGACCTTGGGTAAGGTTTCATTGACTCAAATATTACATAAAATGTTTTGACACCTTTTGTTTTTTAAAGTATATGATACATGTATTAAGGGAATTAAATGTTTAGGAACTGGAAATCTTTTTTGGTTTGCTTCTTAGCTTGTTCTCTCTCCAATGGAAAAGCATCCCAGAGATTTGCATGTTCAGATGGCTGCAACGTAGGTCTTTTTTTTTCTGTTTAGTTTTCATTAATAAAGTGCTGTTTTTTCAATATTTAGTTATTCGGGATTAAAACTTTGATACATGTATGTTTCATACTTTTCTCAGAAAGTTGTGGACAGTGAATCACTGGTCTGTAATTACTTGAAGACACTCAACGTTCCCCACACTGTTCCCAATCATTTTTATGCTAGAAGGAAGGCGAATTTTATAAATATTTGTTATAAATTCAAGGCATTTTCACTTTGAGAAAACTGCAACATGACCTGTTTGAAACAGGACCTTCTTGTAATTTTGGTACAGTTATCTTTGTTACTTGTGTTCATTCAGAGCTTGTGTTTTTAACATCATCCGAGGTCCGGGAGGGACTGGAGAGACTGAAATTCATGCTACATACCTCAGGTATGTAGAATTTTTTTCCCACTATCATTTCCAACTTGTTTTCTCCTTGCTTATTTTACTTGTCTTGGTCTTTAAGCCTAATGGTCTTGTTTTTAGAATTACTTCCTGCATAAGAGTAAGAGTAATAAAAATAATTCAGCTCGTTTACAATTGACTATATTTTAATTAATTTTGTTTGTTTTTTTTTTCATCAGTAAAATTGCAATGTTGGCTATTTCAGCAATGAATATCTTTTCTGACAAAAATGAAGTGAGGCTAAGTTTTTTATTTATATTAGTAAATGACCATACTGTTCCATTATCATTTTATAATAATAATTATTATATAACTCCTTATTAAATTCAATTATCTACTCTGCTTGTGTTGCATTACCTCATTGACATACATTCCATGTAGTATACAGTGATGTTGAATTTCTTGACAACAAATGATTAATAGCGTCTAAAAAAAATAATGCAACAATTAATAAATTTTTATGTCAGTGGGATGGCCTGAAAATAATATTGTTTTATGAATTTTATATAGCTTGAATTCATATTTGTATTTTAGTTCAATCAATGTCATGTTTGGGCTATGTACTCACAATATTTTTGCGTTGTCACTAGCTTCTTAGAAATTGCCTTTTAATTCTGGAAACACGTCAACTTTTCAGGAAAGCAGTAAGTTATTATGTAGCTTAACTATCTTAAATTCTTATGTCAGATATTCGAAATGGGCTGAATTGTAAAATGGAATCTAAGGCCTAGATTTGAAAACAAAATGGCTTGATACCTTCACTAATTTATCTGGACTAACATAGCAGATGATATGTTACTTAAATAATTTAAGCAACATACGTAAAATAGTTTTCTACATAACATATAATCCTGCCACGATCTGTGGTGAGTATTACAGCAATAGCGTGAATGAAGCTGTAAGATCGGCTTATTTTGCCTTGGCAATTCATTTTTGCGTCACCAAATGTCATTAGAGTAAACTAAACCCATGTTAAATTTATCACACCCCAAGGCTGTGCTCTAAGGAGAATTGTAGGTAGCCCAGTGTTCTGAAACTGTAAAATCTAGGGTGCCCAGCATATGATTTGTATGAAAAATCTGAGATTTTCTAGTCGCCCGAGAGCAAAATTTAGGCACCAGGGGCCACCGGGCTCTGCTAGAGCACAGCCCTGCACCCATTACATAACCATAACCATACTCCCCAAAATACAATAATTTAAACCCAAGATAACATTGAGCCAAAACGTATACCTATGAAAGGCACCCTCGAGGAAATTTGGACAAACCTACCTTGTATGGCTTAATTAATTTTACCGCTTAACAGATCGATCTAGAGATTCTACATCTATTTACAATGATTTATTGACAATTTTGTTTGACAGGACTCAGGTAACTGCCTCATATATAGAGGGTGGCTACCTAAGAGAAGGCCATTAACAGTAGTTTGAGTGTACATCTGTAATATACTCAGATGATTATCTTTGTTTAATTGTGGGTTTTATACTTTTCTGTGTTTCCTGATGAACAGAAATTCAACTGCTTTAAGGCGGCCAGTCTTGCAATGGATGCTTTATGTCTTTTCTCAACTGATCAAAGCATCCTGCAACTGTCAATCAAAGTTTGTGCGATCTTGTCATCTAAGGTATTGTCAGTGTATTAAAAAATTATCTGTAAAAGAATATAGTTATAATGCCTAGTTTGGAGCTGAAATTTCCACAGGTCAGTTAAATTCTGATAAACTAGTGATTAGCGGCAGGCCCATAACCAGGATTTTATGTGGGGGTGCTAACGAGGCCAAAGTGGACCAAACTACCGCAATGGATTTTTTATTATCTGATCCGTTTATTAAGGAAAGTAGCAATACGTGAGAAATTGTAATGGCAAAGTACACGGTAGGAACTGAATATTACATTTGTCAAATACAACTGTTTGAATTATGTTATAAAGGAGTAATTTTATGATGTAAAAATTATGATACATCAAAATACTGCGGAACTAATCCCTCAGAATAGTTCCAAGCTCCAGCCTCCGTGGGTGTTTGGTGGCAAACAGATTTACAACATCCAAAACAATTTTAACTTGATAATGTATGTGCATTAGTGCGAGGGACGACAGCCTTTCCTGGCCCATGCATGCCCTGTTATATGTATGCAGCTGCCTTAAATATCACTGTTAAGTTTGAAACTTCAGTTTAACCGACTTGGATATTGAGTATCAAAATGCGGACCTTTGGGGCCTGTGGGGGGGTGCGAACACACCCTGTGCACCCTCCCCGGTTACGGGCCTGAGCGTCATGTAAGTTCAGCTCATCATCATTCTTGAACACTCCCTCTATTTCTGGTGCTGAAATTTGGAGGCAATACTTTAGGACTGTGGTATGTACTACCACAAATTCACAGCGATTTTAAGTCCGTCTAAATATAAACCTCCTGTCATAAGCTCTCTCCTTTCTAATATAGTCTTCAGTTCTCATTATAAGCTCCCCATGGTTTTTCAGTCCAAGCTCTCACCCCCTTGTCTCATCTCATTTAGAAGAGATGTGAATCGGTGTTACTTTGTTCTTGTCTAGATTTCTACACCAGAGACTGTGGTCCTTGGCTCTGAACGAAACATCTTGGCCTTGTTTGCCATTGCTCAAGGGAAAATAAGTTCAAGTGAGGTGAGGGTAAAACTAAATGCTGAGGGAACGGTGATCACGTCAACAGATTCATCCTTCACATTTGTTGCCCCACATTATGTTTAGTCTCTTTTCTATGAAGTAACTAGGGGGCTGTTTACATGATACCAGAGAGACTTTCATTCTGGAACAACTGAGTTTATTCCATCTCCAGTTATTTCTTTACATCTGTTTGCCTGATATCCAGACAAAACTTTGTTCACATACAAGTCATTGCAGTTTTCATTCTGAATGAAATTCTTGTTCTGGTATGAAATTTCATTGTGGTATCATGTAAATTGTAAAAGAACCTTAAGCTTGTTCCGTATTGAAAATTGCAAATCGTGTTGTCTGGAGCGAGTGGTGCATGCGAATGTGATCTGGCGTGAAAATCACGTGTGCGAGAATGCCTTATGCTGAGCCGTTCGATTTTATGTGAATGCAAAGTTAATAGTTAGATAGTTGATTATTTTTTTGTCCCAGAAAAGAGAATCCCCTAAAAGACAATTTAGTTATATACAAACTGCTAACGTTTTTTTGTGAAAGTCTGTCACACCATTATGTTTCCTTCGGTGTGATTTAGAAATTGTTTGTTCTGTTTATTTCCAGGCAGACTTCACCTTGAGTCTTACTCTAAGTGTTCTCTGGAACTTAACTGGTAAGGACAACTGATTGCACAATGTAAGAAGGTCAAAAAATAAATAAATAAATAAATAAACGACGATGCTTACTTTGTCTCTGTCATATCTCTGTATATCTAAGCCTAAAGTGAAAGAAATACCGACCTATGCGCCCTCAAAACTTACATAGTGATACTGCCTCTTTTCCTTTCCTACTGGGATGCTAGTCCACCGTATAGCGAAGGAAAAGTGTCGTATCTCATAAAGAACTTGATTGCAGTCGGAGCACTACACTCACGTATTTACTCATAGCTTGAGGTTGAGCCATTTTTACATGTGAGATAGACAAAATCTTATTTTATCAATAAGTTGCGTCTTATTTTGATCTTTTAGATGAGGCACCAAGTACTTGTTTTAAATTCGTTCATAAAGGCGGAGTGCAAATGGCTGCACAAGGACTCAAGGTATTTTTTGGCGAAAGTGTGCATGTAAGATTTGAAACAGGCTTCGTGAACGTATAAATGGATGTCTCTCTTTGTGCGTTACACTACCTGGAAAATCAGGGATGAAATTCAGCGTTTTTTGGGCCTGAAGTGATTCAAGGACACTTATAGATCTTACTATTGATTGTCCGTTGTAAATCTTCTTTGAGTTTCGGATTAAATTAACAGAGGTTTTAACAAGCTCTTGCCTTAAATCTGTAAATATCCAACTTTCCAATAAACAGTGAAGTTTCTAAGAGTTTTCGTTTACGTGATTCAGTTCACTCCTTGATTCGGGACAATCATGATTGAATCGTTTTCAGTCAAGTATTCACAACTAATTTAACGTTCGACATGTTCGTAAAAAAGTGAAACAAAGGCATATGATCAAGAATGCCTGCATGTCTCGCAGAAATTTGCAGAAATTTCTGGAAGAAACTGGAAGTAACTTCCGCGAGTTAGATGTAGGAAAGACATACAACTGCCTTGATTGTAAAGTATTTTGCATGGTTCTGCGTCAACAGACCTTCAGGGAGGAAACCCAAGAAAAACACATCATAATCAAAAAGAAGATTCTGGGAACACTGGTAAGAAGTACTAGAATCTATCACACCTCCCCCGCCAAGTTTTTTTTGTAGGGACAAAATCTTCAAAACTCTCTTTCTACCTTATTGATCATAAGTAACAATGTGTGCCTTAAAGGTTTGTTAAATTTTATTTTGAAATGTACCAGCAGATTCTTTAGCGAAAGGGGCACCTTCATTCAATTGCCAATCAAGGAAACATTGTGCAGCAATGCTAGGACTCTAGTCAAGGATGAAATATGTTATTTTTATTTTTTGTGGCAATCTTTGAATCTTGTTTGAATGTCTAATGATAGAACAGGATGAGAGAAATGTGGAAACAAGCAAATCCAGAGTTATATGATTATGAATATCTAAAAAGGGCACATTTAGTATTGTTATGTACATGACGAGCATAGTATTCTGAGCTGGGCTAACTTTTGTTTTGCTGCAGAATAACATTGCTGAGGTTCCAGGGCTGAGGAAACATCTTATCACAAATGAGTTCATTGATCTCATTGGGTAGGTTTTAAACTCTATTCGTCATTGAAAACTGCGAAGCGAAATGTGTAGACCGCGGGGCAGTAGTCCCAACTAAAATTTTAGTCATTTTTTGAAATACTGAAAAACAAATATTACTTCGTTTGGGTACTGATATGGAGGTTTCAGTCGAATGGACACATCATAGGTTTTTGTGCTCAATTCAAGAGTTATTCAAGTACTCCATTACTTGTTATCATGGTTGACTCAGATTGAAAGAGCCGTCACTGTTGAAACTGTACTGTTTCAGTGAGGGCGTATTGTAATCTTGAACTCCGAATATCCAATCATTTTTAGTATTCATTTAAAATAATTCCTCCCCTAAAACCAGGCTAAAACATGCTTCCGCAATTCGTAAACGTCTTCCAAATTTGGTGAACGCTAGCTGGTTATGAAGAAGTAACCGCGGGTTTTAAGCCAATCAGAAATGGAGAAATATTTTGAATGAATGACAATTAGGAAAACCATGTACTAAGTTCATAGTTTGTACGGATCCTGCGTCCTGCTACCATCAGTGTGTGTGGTGAAGTTATTGTGACTTCCCTTCATTCCTCCAGGTGTCTTTTAGAAGACAAATTGGTTCAGCTCTCATATTTTGCCGGAGGGATTCTGTCCAACATTCTACTCGATTGGACCGATGAAGACCTCTTACCAATGTCTTTGAAACTCTTGATGCTGGTCAAACTGGTAAGAACACCCGAGCGGGGGCCATTAACAAAGTTTTATACGCGGACACTCCGCCTCGAGGTCCAAACTCTTGTCTTTATCAGTGGCGGAGGAGCCCGTGTATCCCGGGCCCTTCCTTTTTTTAGACCAAACTGAGGTCCGAAGGGCCGAAGAAATTTTTTGGAGACCGAGCCCCCCCTGCCTCCGTTATCTCAAAGTCTGGATCCGGCACTGTTTTTATATACAATTTTGGACAGAAAAGGTTCCCCTTTCGTTTACCTTCTATTGACAAATGGTACCCTTTTCACATACCGACAAGCAGTCAGGAAATTTTCAACCCTTTTAACTGCTGTAAATGCACTGTCTTTGAAATATGAATCAATCACACAACCAAAATGATTTCTCGACTTTTTCGCTGCAATGAAATGCATCTGATAGCTCTTTTGGGCCTTTTTACCGACGGACTTGAAAGATTTCCCCTACCCTTCAACTAGTAAAATCCCTACCCTTTCATACTCCTGACGCCTCAAAAAGGTACCCCTTTCGGGCGGAGCCCCCCCGTATAGGCCATCATAGGGAGTGCCCCTGCCCCCAGGTAAGAACATCACTTAATAGACATTCAGGGCTTTAGTTCTGGTCTCTCACCCAGTAATTGAAAATAAGTCAAAACTGAGGATTTTTTCAAAGTAAGACAGCGATTTTCGTTGCATAGGTGCGCATATATTATGAATCCTTGTTTTCGTACCTTTACGTACCTTCCATCCCATAAGTCGTATAAATCCTTCACCCTATCCGGCTTTGATTCCTGGGGAGATACCAGCCTCGTCTTCCCGTTTCCTAAGAAGATTTCCGAAAAGAAAAGGGTTCTCTTAGCAGCCTGGAATTAAGAGGTTACTCGCTGACGAAATTCTGTTCGGGCGAAAAAATACAAAATGTCATCTCTCTCTCTCTCTTTTCTTTTTTTTCCAGGAGCAAGCAGTGAAGAGTTGGGATTTGCCATCAGAAGAACTAGTTGCGTATCGGTACGAGAATGTCACACCGTTGTTTTTTCCTTCAGAACTGGCTTGTTGTATTAGTGTGCCGGAAGCATATACACAGTTACTACAGTTATAGGAGTAAAACAAAAAACCAATCGTGACGTTACCCGTGCGCATTGGTTTTAATTCCTGCGCTTGGCCTTAGTTACATGCAAGTTGCGTGCGCTGATTACGTGTTCTGTGGTTTGTTTCCAGGTCTTTCACGCCATTTATACAGCTTCTTCATTGTTCAATGCCCGCAGTACAGATGTGGGCTTTATGGGGAATGCTTCATGTTTGCCATAGAAATGGTATGCAAGTTTCTGTAGTTACAAAGTATAACCCTCAAGTCTCACTTGAATTACAATGTGGGGTAGTACCTTGGAGGCATTTCAGCCTTATTGATTACAAAACGCGCGCGTCTCCAATGAATTAGTTACTTCTATCCACGCCTGTGAACGTAGAACTACTTTCTGGAATTTTTTCAAAGTGCCACAAGTAAGTGCGGCTCAGTTGCTTTCATTTAAATGGTCGTGCTGTAGAATTTTTTAGGAACTAAAGTAAAAAGCCACCCAGAAAAACGTGGTAAATAGGTCAGAGAAAATAGTGCTGAGTATTGAATTGTTACTTAATGACAGTATCACAAGGGAAGTGCAGCTAATTAGCTTTCAATTTAATGGTTACACCTAAAGATTTCATCAACAAAGTTAAACGTTAGAACCAACTAAAAATAAGAATTTCGTCCAGACTTTGAACTATCTTGTACAATGAACAGTACTACAGAAAGTATTGCTCGGTAATTTCCATTTGAGAGGTCACACTTGAGGATTTCATCCATTCCAGACTCAAAACTTCGAACCATCTTATGCAACAAAACAAACGGTATCACCGGAAAGTATTGCGTGATAAAGAGCACCATAGGAAGTTCACTCCTTGTTATATGGACACAGGTGTAAACATCCAGTGCTTTAAGAGTAGCTTCCATCTGAATGGTCACACATGAGGATTTCATCCACAGACTCAAAACTTCAAACCATCTTGTGCAACAAAACAAACAGTATCACCAGAAAGTGTTGCTCAGTAACTTTCATTTGAATTGGTAACACTAGACCCAAAAGTTGAAAATTCCTATTTTCAGCGTGATAAACAGCACCATAGGAAGTTCACTCCTTGTTATATGGACATAGGGTTAAACATCCAGCGCTTTAATCACAATCTATTCTATGATTCTTCTACAGCTGCGCGGTACATCCCCCTTCTCCTCGATGAGGGCATGACAGAAAGCGTGGAACAAACAGTCGACCCTTCAAATGATGGCGTGAACCAACTTGCAAAGAAACTTCTTGATGCCGTCACGGATTTTAAACGCTTATAATCATAGTAACCCTGTTTGACCTGATTGAGTTTAAGGAGATAAGGTCATGGTAGTGTCAGTGATTTTGCCTCAATCGTAAACTACGCTCTTTAAACTGCAAATTGATGAAAAAAGCCTCATATTTTTATCACCACGTAAAAGATGTAAATGGTCCCACTCAAGTCTTATCTTCATACAGAGACAAACCTGAAAAATTATGGGCTGCTCAGTTCTGTGTTTCAGGTTGAAAAATACAGTCCGTTCGTGCTTTCTTCAGATTCGCTTATTTTTCTTATGTTCTTGTGCAGGTCAGAGTGTTATTTCAGTCAGTTCTGTCATAGTAGAGGAGACTGGTTAGGAAAGCCGGCAAACATCAAAGTTGAAAACAACGGTGCTGTAGGTTATGTTAAAAGCTCCCTGACCGTGTACAATCCTTCGGTTTGTGTTCACAAGACAGAATAAATTAATGCGATGTTTCTATTGGTCAGTAAGCCCAAAATGATATGAATGCTATTGAAAGTTGTGCACGATCAGATCCAAAAAAGTTAACAAAAACATATAGCCAAGGGTTTCCCAATCATTCCACTTTAATTAACTAAAAATGAAATTGCTGCTGAAATTGCCAAAATTAATCTGAGCAAGACCATAAGTTTGCTATTTTCGGTGTCTCTTGAAATGTTGTGGTGTCAGGATCTGGCATTGTAACAATCTTAGCCCCTAGTTTCGAAAATTGAAAGAAACCAACGTTTTTAGATCACATCAGCGCTGTACATATTCCAAAACGAATCAGACAATTGTAATATTTTATTGGAAAAGTGTATACATTTTCTAGAATCAGACCATTCGCCACTTTAGAAACAAAAAGAAAACTGGGGCCAGTTTATGTTCGCAAAGACTTCTGGGGTTTTTACTAGGGACAGGGAAAAAAGTGGCCAATAATAGCTAGTTACCGGCGCGTCTCTAGTAACGATCCCAGTAGCCTTTGCGGGGCAAATTATGGCTCCAGTTCTCGTTTCAAGCAATCGACGGTAGCTGCACGCTTGGCACAATGGGTTTAGTTATGCCCATCAGTTTATCAGTAAACGTATGCTCGCTCTCGAAAAACCAGTTTGTCGATAAAGAACAAGATTGACCAGTCCAGAAGTTTGAGCTTGGGCGACTTCAAAAGCTTGACGCAATTCAGGCAGAGCCTTTCTTCCCCTTCCTCACGCAAGAAGATAAAAATAGGCTTTGCTCCCTGGGTAGGTTAAAATAACAAAAGCTTTAATTTGTAAAAGAAACCAGAGAAGTAGTAAAACTATGTCATCGTACAAATGGCCTATCATGCAGATGTATGGGAAAATAACTTTTGCAGACGATATCGTTCATGTATTTATTGATAGAATGTTACAGAGAAAATAAAGGAAATAATCCCAGCGTTGTATGTCGCGTGTACGAACTCCTGTATCACAAAGAACCTGGTAAACTACAACGGCGCATGGTAGAAATGTCCGTCATCTACACGCTGTTGCACAACACGTTTGTCAAAACAATTTTGGCAGCTTCTTGAGTCTCATTATGTCCAAGATCTGTGCGTCGTTCTCATCCTTACTGGTGGGCTCCGGAGTACAGGGCGGGGCTGTACACCTCTGTGACGTCACAGAGGAATGGGATCTTTCACTCCTATTACTCACTTCTGGCACTTTCTTTTCTGCAGTCTCTTTACGACTTTCGACACTATCGCCAGGTTGTGTTGGACCTAAACAGTATTTCCCCAAATAATCTCTGGTAGCCATGGACAAGTTATTCCAAGTGTAATCCGTGGCTGACAGAGAACTTAGCTCTACCGATCCTTTCCTTAGCGAAGTACTCCTGGCTTCTTCTATAACACTAAATGTTACTGCTCTGTCACGGCTGTGCTTCTTGTGGTCGCTGCTCACGTGTTGAAGCTCTTGTAGTTGAGTGTCAGTGAGGTATTTTAGGTAGGTTTCACTGAAGACCTCATCAAGTGTCTCGTCAACGGAGAAAGACACATAATTGATGTGGGGATGGTCTGGTATTGCACTCAGTGACGCTGATTTGTGCAGCGGCCATTGTCTAGTGGTTGAAGTGTAAAGAAGCCTGTAGATAAAAAAGATAGGAGTTAATTTGTTAGTATCTTTCCGATGACTCGGACGTTGAGTGGATTGCCTTTAGGCTACTGTGCTGGCGCGTTGCGAGTTTTCCCAATGTAGGTTGGTAAGTAACAAAGAAATACTATCGGACCCAATCAGAACTCAAGAGTTTCTCAGTCGGTTAAGATTCGGACCTGCCGAAACTAATCAACACCAACTTGGAATTGATTGGAAAACGGTCCGTGTCTTGTGGTTGCTAGGATACCGCGAATCGTGGCTGTCTAATCTTGGATTTATTCCTTTCAAAATAGGGACCTTACGATCCGGCAACGGCGACGCCTATGAAAACGTTGCTGAAAAATAGACTTCGCGTCCTTTGAAACTTTTTCTCCCTTTTACCAAGTCACCCAGTTACCTGAAAGAAAGGAAGTCAGGTTGGAACTGAAGAGAGGGGACCGCGTCCGAGGTCAGAGAGAGATTAAAATTCATCGCCTTGCCGTTCCCGTTCTCAAGTCAACTAAAACTTTGGTCAGTTCACGTTGCAGCTGTGCACGGACGGCTAAGAAATGTACAAAAAAGCGTGATGCACGTGCAGAGTTGTTGTTTTGCTTAAATAAACCTACTGAGTTTTCGACGTTCCCGTTGCCGTTGCTGTTGCCGTCGTAGTTTCGTTAGGTCCCTAATATGGAGTACGTGACGACAGGCGAGAACGCTCTATCTATTACAAAATGAACTAATGCAACTCAGGGGCGGATCCAGGACTTTTCTTACGAGGAGTGCACCACTAAGGAATGGCGTAACTGACTGGGGACGTAAACAAATTTTAAAAGCGAATACGAAGAAGGCTTTTGACCGGGCAATAACATAATGTGAACCGCTGAAAATACATATCATACATATCTGCATATTTTGCAGAAGGCCGCAAAAAGTCATCTCGTGGGGGGCGGGGTGGACACTCCCTACATCCTCCCCTACAACTCCTCAACATACTAAACTTTAAGTAAATTTTCCCTTACTTTGAAGCTTCTGCGTTGTCCATATCTCCAGTTTCACCATAAGAAGTTTGGATCTTCTGTAATTCTTTCATCGTTGCCGCGACTACTTCCTCGCGTGTTGGCTCGTGCACAGTAACTCGTTCCTTCTCAACAGATTTCTCGGATTCCTTCTCTGAATGGGATTCATCTTCGGCTTGTTGATCAAGGATGGTCTTAACTTGATTCTGAAAATGACATACCAACATGGGTAACATTCTTCAATGGATGTTGGTGACTTCTCTCTGCCTACTCTGTGTTCCCTTATACGAGTACGAGATTTTCTCAATAGTAAGTATTGCTCGCGCGTGAACCAGCATCATTTAGGCGGAAAAATATGATAGCCTTCGTCATTCCACTACTAGTTTTAGCGAGAATGTCGTACTGGCGAAAACAACTTATCAAACGAAAGAAGTTTTATCATTTTGCTATCGGGAGAGGGCTTAACATCCTTCAGTTTAAATAACCGAGCTAACATTATTGATGAAAAAAAAAGCAATCTTCTCGTCCTCGTCCTCAAATCTAAGGCCCTCTAATGTCCTAGTGGCGAAAATCAGTTCTCGTTCTCAAAGATTTTCTCACTTTGCGATCGAGAAAGAGCTTATCCTCCTTCAATAAAACATAACCGCGCTAACAATTCAGGTAAAAAAGTACTATGAAACTTTTCCATTTAATCTCGGCGTCGTAGTCGTCCTTGTTGTCTAATCTAAATGTCTCTATCACAGGGTAAGGAACCTGCCTCGTACCCAGACGTCTCTCTTTTGATGAAAATGTGCGCGCAAAGCAAGGCGGGAAGGAGACAACGGGCGAGATCTGGCAGGCGCTTCGCCTGTCGTCTGTACCCTTCCCATGGTCCCTTGCGGTTCATCACCAGTCACTCGTTTCGCGCTCGCCTCTGCCATGCGAAAAACGAAGCGCCTGAGGAGGAGGCTGGTAAGGAACAGCGTGCGTCTACAAAAAAATATAGAAAGGGGCAGAATAATCGAATTTCAATGAAGGTTGGGCCGGGTTAGGGGATGCACTCAGTCAAATCGAGGCATCCAAACGTCCACGCTGTTACACATTTTCTTGTAGCAAACTTCAACTATGTAGGCTCTTAAACTCTAGCTTTTCGGTGGAAAGCCAAAGGGTTAGGTACTGTTGACTGGTGTATTTTGCTTCTTACGGGCTGCAAGATAGTAATGTGCAGAGATTGGCAAAACTGATACCAAAAACGCGCGGGGTTTGTCGATAAACAGCCAACTGTCATTTCTACTCACCAGTAGATTGTCATAAAATTGACGCTCATTTCTCTCTAGCAGGCTAACATGGTTTGACTTCAATCGTCTGCTTTCTTCATCCTTAACTCCATGTTCATTTGCGTCGTGATCTGGGTCGTGTGGCTCGCTTCCATTTTGCCTTTTTTCCACAAGAAGACTAGCACTTTCCCCTGAGAAATGAATGACACTCAAAAGGTTAAAACCATAAATACCTTTGGTTTTTAGGAAAGAGCACTACTGGTAAATCACGCGAACACACGGAAATTCGCGCGACATCCCACCCGCAGTGAAATCGAGAATATTGAGACTTAAGTACCATGGGCAAAACACGCGAGACCGCGCGGAAATTCGCGCGACATGCGACCCTTGGTGAGATCGAGAATAGCAAGACAAAGATAAGGGTCACTTATCCTTTCTCTTTTCAATTGCACCACGCAGAACGAATCACAGCATACAGTTTACTTTCACTTTCTTGTATACTAAGTTTTACTCATCAAAGTGTTGCAAAAACAAATTATACAAAAAACAACAACGACAACAAAATTAACCCCTTTGGATTTCTGCTCAAGTATTCCGGCCAGTTCTTCTTAATTTTTGTTATCATAACAGCTTACCTAACACAGGACTGGATAAGCTCGTTTCCATACGTCCTTGTTTAGCCCGATCAGCGGAACTGGGACTGGTCACACCAGAAGGGCTTTCAACAAAACTGGGAATATCAACTGCATGAAGGGATGAAGCCAGCGTCTGACTAGGGTCATCAAGTTCTATCACTTGATTGGCTAATTCCTCAGGACTGACGGTTACGTCATAAGATTTGGATTCTTTGTGACTGTATTGGCTTGTTTCTTTACTTGACGATGGAAAAAATCTACGCATAGCAATAATGATCAAAAATTTCAGTCAACCCAACTCGTTTTTCATCAGTTAAATATTAATCTGGTACAAAAAACAAACGTCATGTACTCTTTTGGGCTTTTGGATGAATTTTTCTCGCGTTTCCAAAACGTTCAAGCATTTGAACATTTCTTGGATAAATTTTTCTTCCAATGCAAGGCAAACAAATTTTCTAAAAAATAACTGCCTGACACGAAGCTAAATTTTGCGGATTGAGGATTGTTTGTATTTTGCGGGAACTCATTCTTGTGAGTGTGAAAGACTGGTTTTTCTTAGAGGGAAGTACAACACTTTCCAGATTAGTGTGACCACTTTTTACGAAGCCACCGCTGTAATGAAATCTTCGTAATGAAATCTGAGTAACGAGCGCAGAAATTTCATACTGAGGACGTGCCACTACCCAAATATGAATAGTACTTTTAGGGTAGCACTTCTGATCAGGCGTGCTGCAAGGAAAATTTGCTTGAACCAATCAGAAGCATTATGCAGATTACAATCATGGACACAAGTCCTTGAGACAGTAATGAAATATTCATATTTTTCTGTCATTTCTGGGTTCCCTAATAAAACAGTGCATCCTTTTTGAAATTTTTTCGCAGTTCTCCCTCCGCCCCTCTCCCCCACCCTATACAAAGTTGAAACTCGAAAAGTAATTCTGGATACACGCGTCCAACTTTGTTTGTGGGATGAGAGAAGGGGTTGGGCCTGTGTGGATTGGAAAATACCTAAGAAATGCAAAAGTGTCCCAAGACTTTTTTCCATGATTGTAGGTAGTGGCACGTCATCAGAATGGAATCGTTGCACAGACATCATTTCGGGCGAAAACCAGTGGTGGTGACGAAGGTACATAATGAAACATTACAAGCTAAATGTTTTTTAAACATACAAGTTACATTTACATTTAAAAGAACGACAAGTACAGCCTTCCCGATCATTGAATGAGAAATCTGCGTGCAAACCTGCTGTTATTCATGTCCTTTTCTTTCATGGGTGACGTTGCAGCTGATCTCTTTCCGTTTGGCTTGACTGGAGTTCCCAGCAACAGACTTGCACCTGTGTTTGTGCATACTGTCACCATGGAAACAGGGGAGTTATCTGTGGGCTTACTGTTACCATGGGAACATTCAGTGTGAGGAGTTCTTGGCGGGGTCAGCAAGGGGTTGACATGGGGGAGTTCTGCATTTTGCTGTTGTAGTAACAACTTGATCTGCAATGTAAAGGGAATGTTGAGAAGGTCAAAGGCTCTTTTCTACAAAGAATATGAAGGAGCCCATCAGGCCAAAAGCTGAGACATTGGAAGCCCATACTGTGAACATTTAGATACCTTGATGTTTCGCATGCATGCAACTTAGCTAACAATAACTTCAAATGACCACATGAATCATAATCATCATCAACATCATCATCATCACCCAAGGTGTAAAATGGCCTTACCAGTTTCAAATTTGCACTTTATGTACATCTGTGTATATGAACATTAAGGTCATTCAAATTCATCCGGCAGCGATTCACTTACTACAAACATTACCTGCTCTTGCAGTTGCCTCAATTGCACATCCTGTCTCATGAGAAGCTCATAAGGATCTGGCCGTGTCATTTCTGCTGAACACTTCTGGTTTGCCAGTCTTGTCACATCATCTGCTGTCTCCTTGTTTTCTGGCAGTTTTTCCTCATGGTCTCGGTCAAAAGTGTGTCTATCCGTAACTTTAAATTCCTGTGTTGCTTCACTATGGGCCTGATCCACTCTCCTGTCAGAGGCAGAAACAGTACTGCAGCCCGGCATCTCCTCATGACTGTCTTGTCTACAGATTATAGGCTGGTTTATCCTATCCTCCATGTTTTCAAGATTCCCTCGCCTAGAAACAGATCCCTCTTTTCTTTGTTGCTCCATACACTGAAAAACAACATTTTGTTTTCCATCTTGATCGAAAATTAAACCAGAGCTTCCATTTTTGTCAGGATCTCTGCCTACATCACTTGCGACCCTCTGAGCTTGTTGCAAAGCTTCTTGAGCTTGCATAGTTTCACAAAGCTGAAATTCTAATTCTGTTTCATTCATACTTTTGTTCAATGTTCCATCTGGTGTATCACCTTCAAAGACTGTTTCCAACACAGGTCTTTGCACTTGGTTGACTGGTAGAGGGCAGCTGTTATGATGTAACTCCTGGCCATCTGAATGTCCAACAAATCGCTGCTGATCAACATGTCTTTGCCTAGTTTTGCCTCCCGGCTGGTTTGCAGAAACCACTTGTTCATTTGGAAAGTCGGAAATTACTTTATCATCTCTACCTTCGTGACTCTGAGGATTACTTTGCATTATCTGAAATTTATGTCCATTTATTTGCTGGTAGTTCCTATCATCATTGCAATACAACGCATTGGGTCCCTTTGCTGATAGCTGTTTCCCATTCACTTTCGATCTGGAATTACTGTCACTTGTGAAAGATTTTGGTGATCTCCCTTTTACATCACGACCAGGAGCATTCCCTCTTTTTAAAGGAGCTTTCTGAACACCAGAAGAACCTTGCATGGGAAGGGGCCTCTTGGATACCTGTTGTTGGTCCATAACTTTGCTATTAGCATGATTAGGAGCTAAAATTTGTTTCAAGGGTTCCCTCGATGGTGAATCCTGCCAACCACCATCAGTCCTAAACTGCTTTCCGTTTTGCTTTTCCTTTGGAAAACCTGGTGACCTTTTCCCTTGATTTCTCACTAAATTATTTTCTTGATTATGTTGCACTCGTTTCAGAGACTGTTTATCAGGCTTTGTTTGTAGTTTCTTTGGATTTGGCTGTGGAAAAATCTGTTGATTTACATATCCCTGCGCTGAAAACTCTCCTGGAATGTGTTCTTCAAAACTGAGGGAAAGAGAAGTTTCTGGTACATCTGGTATGACAAACTGTGAACATGGAAGAAATCGTGAATTAATAATTCAATCCTGATGCTTGTTGTGTCCAGTGTGAGATAACGGACCATATGAAACTACGACGGTGATGGCAACATGAGTGTCAAAACAGCAATAGGTTTAATGAGCAAAACAGTAACTCTGCAGCTCATTACGCCCTTTTGTGAATTTCTTTGCTGATCTGTTCACAAACGGGACGTGAAATGGCCAAATTTTAAGTTTACTTGAGAACGGGAACAGAGGCAATAAATTTTACTATCTCTGTTTGAACTTGGGTGTGGTTCCCTCTCTTCACCTCCAATATAAACTCCCTTCTTTAAGTAACTAGGCGAATTGGGATAATTGCCAAAAAGTTTGAATGGATGTGAAGTCTATTTTCCTACGACATTGTCGTAGATGTCGCCATAGTCGTGTTGTAACCTCCCTAAGCACACTGCAAAACCAGGATATATGGGTTATTGATCAGGGTTTGGTCATTAGCTTAATAATGCTTCTGCCACAAAGTCTTTTCAATCCCTAGCCTTACCTGTAAGTTTTGTGGATGGGGAGATGGAGAGGGCCTAGGTTCGGGACTTGGTTCCCCTTCACCCGGACCCTGTGCTGATGAAGTCATTACTTTCTTTTGAGATGAGGAAATTCCACCTTGATGTAATCTGAGATAAGACAAGAACGGAAATACATTTTCTTTTCCTGTCAGTTACACTTTTTTCCTCAGAAGAAGTTAGAGTCTGACTACTTACAGATATCACAGTGACTGAAGCTTAATATTAATAATTCCAATATTAGGCTCCTTTTAATAAGTACAATCAACTTTTGCCTAGCAGACATGTTGCTATTACAGACACTGCAATACATGTAATATGGAAAGCATCTAAAACCTCAGCAAATATAAATTACAGATGTTCAACTGAAGTTAAATCCCACTAAAACAGACTCTCGCTATTAAGGTTACTACACATGTAAGTTGCAGTCCTGAGGATGTCTGTAATCAGTGAGTTGATTGTTTATATAAAAATATAAATTCAACTTGATAACAAGCTCTAGAGAGCAATGACACATGAGATGAACAAAAGATTTATTATTTCCTTGAAGGGGTGAAAGGGGGGTTTGCATGATACAGCATTAAGGGTTTTTAATTTTCATGAAAGGTGAAAATTAGAAATTACTGTACATGTATACTGTTTGTATACTCTCCAGGCTCCAGGCCATCTATGAAGTTGAATCAAGAGGCCACGCCTATTACCCTTTCTGTTAAAACACTGTACAAAGGAAATCCAACACCAATTAAAGAGGGAGCTGATGGTAGGTTACCTTAGTGGTTTGTTGTCTGTTTCCCACGTCTCCATGGCTTGCTCAAAAAGACTCCTTCCCATTCCCTCAGGAGCAGGGAACAGCTCAAAGCAAAGTGGATCAGAAGAACTGGGACCAGGTGGCTACAATATCAAAGTCAAGCAGATCATACTTCAACTAGTCTTATTCCAAAAGTCACAATTTTATATTTACTGCAAATTTCAAATGAGCTTTATCAATGATAAAATTAAACAGTTTTAGTGCTTTTTTTTCCTCCAAGTCTCGGTCTATAAGCTGTGGTTGTTTTTTAACTGTAAATTAATATTCCTTTTGGGCTCTCTTAATAATGATTGGTACAATGTTGCCTGCAAAATTAAAAAGAAACAACTGAGAAACAAGCTCTACATTGACCTCAACCAGTACAAATTATCACTGTCATCATCATTATACAACTTTTCACTATGAATATTTTGGTATTATTACTTACAATTTCCAAGTGCAGGTTTTCATAACAGCTGTAGAACTCAAACATTTTCTGTCCAGGTTGCCCCTGTAACAGAGGACAATACTGTCATTCAAGGAAACTGAATCATCAACCTCTAACTTTTTTATTATTGTTCTAAGGGTGGTGTGACTTGAGGATTGCAAATACAGATACATATACAGGGCTCAGAAAAGTCCTGTCTAGTAGTCCAGAACTGGTAGATTTTATTGCTGAGCAAGTAACTTTTAAAGCTTGCTTGCCCAATGGGCAAGTGTGCAGGCGAGTCATCCTCTAACTATAATTATTGCTAACAAGATGAGCCAGAAGTGACCCTGGGCAAGCGAAATGTGAGATTCGCTTTCCTGAAGGACAAACTGGAATTCAAGTTTTTAACGAGCCCTGCTCGCTTGCCCAATGAGCAAGTGTGCAGGCGAGTCACCCTCTAACTATATTGCTAACAAGATGAGCCAGAAGAGGCCCTGGGCAAGTGAAATGTGAGATTCGCTTTCCTGAAGGACAAACTGGAATTCAAGTTTTTAACCAGCCCTGCATGTGAAGACATGCTACATGAAATTTATTAGTTACCCAAATTGTCTTGAAAGTCACGGTGGTGATGAAGCTTTTTCAGCACAATTTTCTTCACAAAAAATATTATAGTGTGGTTGAAATGAGAGATGTCTATTCTGTGAGGTAAATGGAATATCCCCAATGATAGTTACCAAGTCAATGCAGCACTCCCAGAATTCAGGTGTTGGCTTTACAGGAGAATACAGGAGAAGCAAAAATGAATTTGGAGGAGCAAACACTCTGTAAAAGAAAAAAGCAGAGCAGCATTTATCATTAACCTATGCAGGAAGGTCAGGGAGAAAGCAAAACTATGTTAAAAAATAGACTTTACAGAATGTAATTTGTAAGAAAGCTTATTAAGACTCTGGCAAACTGCTGACATGTACACCACCCTCCCAAAGCCCCAAGAGAGAATTTGGTGTTTAAATTAAATTAGGGGGGAGGGATAGGAGCACATCAAAGAGTTTTCCATGATCTTAAACTGATCATGTTAAAAGGGATTTCAAACTGCTCTTGCATGTAACTTGCCTTAAGTTTATGTAATAACTAACACATTTTTCTTTGTTTGGTAAGAGCCTCAGCGTAAAAAGAAAGTCGTGTCTGGTAGCCTGGGGCTAGTGGATTTTGCTATTGGGCTAGTGATTTTCGTTCTTAACTTGCTCGACGGGCAAGTGCTGTTTTGGGGGAAACTTTAAATTACAGAAGGATTGTAATCAATCCTACTAATCAAAAAGTGTTTTGGGGCTAGTTGAAATGACTTGTGGGCTAGCACATGCTAGCTACAGCTTGCCCGAATGGCAGGCTGTAAAACTGACTTTCTTTGTACCCTGGAGCCTGTACTATGAATAAAAGACTCCTTTTGTTTTGCTTAAATTATATCAGCCATCTCCAAAGTCTAAGCATGTTAAGTGTTTTTTCCATAAAGCAAATCAAACTCCTTGAACCATACATGTATGGTACATACCTTTGCTGGATGGCAGTTGAAAAGAAGAAGCGCAGGCAGCAAGCCCATATGAAAGGGTGATGAATGCTGTAAGTTCCACTCACCCAACTAAAAGAGAAAGTATGTGACAAAAAAATCTGAATCACTATATGTTTCTAGGAAACTGTCCACCTACCCGTCGCCTAAGCCAACATTTTTCCCTTACTGCTCACTTAGGGCAAAATGTTGGCTTAGGGGAGGGGTAGGTGGGCAGCTGTTTCCCAGAAATGTATAACAATCCAAAAATCTCATAGAATAATAATTATGCTTATTTAATCTTTTTGCCACTTTCAACTTCACTTTTTCATTTCAAGTGAAGGGTAAAATAATTGTTACTCCCTACTCTCACATTAATTGAGAAAATCAGTCACCACAATCATACAAGAAAAGTTGAGCAACTTTGCTTTTAATTAGTTTACCATGAAGCTGATCATTTTGTTAACAGAATAAACTTTTTTCAGTCTGTCATTTTATCGCCATTAAAAGTGTAGAAAGTGCAATATAAATCCTTTGTCTCGTGAACCCCCCTTCTCTCCACTCCAATTCCCAAAATTAATATTAATATTGTTGTTGTTGTTATTAATACTATTATTAGTAGCAGTAGTAGTAGTAGCTGTGGTGGTGGTCGCGGCAGCGGCGGCAGCAGTGGCAGCGGCGGCGGTGGTGGTGGTGGTGGCTGTAGTAGTTGGTAGTGGTGGTAGCAGACTTCATCAAATTGAAACTTTACGATGGTACAGCAAAAAAGTATAAATTACAAACTGTGGCAGGGTGTTACGTACATTCCAAGAAGAGGCAAAGAGAAAGCCTTCGGATCTGATTCTAACAGCAACAGCAACTTCCGAGTGTGATCCATTGTTAAGTATCTACAATATAATCCAGAGACAGTAGTTAAGTTGAAAAACACTTAACCATTAAAAAAAATTGCATGTAAAAATGACATAAAAGTGGAACATAAAACAAGGGACTCACAGTTATACTCACCCATTTTTCGGCATTCCCTGCACCTCACTTAGTCTCAAGGGACCTGATAGATTCCTGGCAAGCGCTGTGGGAATGATGGGAACAGGTGCTACAGGAATGACTTGAATTTGTGTTGCCATAGTGATGGTGCCACCTTAAAATTTTATCAAAAAGATAGGCAGACATATTGTTAACACAAGCTGGAAAACAATTTTCTTTTTAAGACTGTGCAAGTCTTAAAGCAAACAGGGTACAGGGGAGGACAGCGAGCCAGGTACACAGGAATTGTCCTCTCCAAAAAATTTATTAGGAAGAAGAATAAAAAATTCAATTAGGCAACAAGAAAAGGTGCTCCAGGGTGTTGGTGTAGAATAGGGAATTTCTTCCTACCAGACTTGCAGATTTTTTAATACATGTTAGCTCTACTCTAATATATATTTTTTTGGTTGTTGTTGTTGTTGAGAAACAACCATTATCATGCAACAGATTTATTAATTATTATTTGTTTCGTTGAGTAGCCAGTGCTTCAGTGATCACTACAGACAGTAGTTGTCAGCAGTTACTGGTGCTGCCAGAGATTAAATTCATATTTAGTGACAAAAAATGAGGTACTTACAGTTCACATTGATTATGATCTCATCATCATTTTCATGCGAATGACAAGACACTTTCAGGCTCACAAGATGTGATAAGTTGACAGGTTCCTGGCTACTTATTCTTCCGAAAAGAACCTGAAAGGCCTTGCAAAATTCATCTTCTGTGTGCGTCACCGCATTGTCTGCTCCACTTAGCCCTTGAATGAACTATAAAGCAACAACATGGGCAACAGGGTTAACCCTTTAAACCTTAAGATCAAAATTACATGTTAAACTCTCCTTTGTTGCCCCTATTCATTTACTATACAATTAGTGCCGTGGGGAGAAGTTGATAAAATATTAAGCAAATACATCTTGTGTGATCATGTCCTTAATTCTCATGACCACTCTGTTTTACAAAGCATTGCTATTATGAGGAGAAATTTGATGCTGATCACTCAAGATTAGGGTTTAAAGGGTTAATTAATATATTATTTCTTCAAGTACAGTTGAGAGTAAGTACAGAAAGAAAGTACAGTTAAAATTCTACTAGTGACTCAAGTTTGTCATGAAATAGAAATGTGGTGATTTAGTTTCAAAAATAACAAATAAAATTATAACTTACAGATATGGGTACAATATGATCTCCTGGGACAACTGTTGTTGGGACTTTTCTCTTGACTTTTCCTGAAGCTAGAATGATTTCAAAGAGAAGTTTTTAAGGCATATCACATACATGTACACTGTATATGAATAGCCCTGGTGCTATCACAGATTAAACAAAACCTTCAGTAAGTAAAAACATTTCAAAATAACCATTAATATTATTACAGAAAATCAGTGTTGCGCTGACAAACTGTTTCATGTACCCATACATATTATTTCCATGTTGTTAAGCGACACAGTGTATGAAAGTTACAATATACCTTAAACTGTTATCATAAATTTTAATAGTAAGTTCATACTGAACAAAATAACAACAACAAAAACCCTTACCACTGTTTACCAGCACTTCCCTTCCTGGATCAAATCTGTCAACTGTAACATCAACACGGTCTTCTCCTGAAGAGCAATGATTTGCCTTTTAAACACAACATTTATAAATTCATACAGTCATGTAGCCATCATATCAATGGATTTTTCGTGCTGAGCAAGTAACTTTTAAAGCTCACTTGTCCAATGGGCAGACGAATTGTTGTAAAGAGGAGCAAGAAGTGGGCCCAGGCAAGCAAAATGTCATTACAGTGAGAAATGCTTACCCATCGGATTCACATTTTAATTTTTTATTCTAGGTCTGGGTATGAGTAATGATGACAGTAGGTGTGTATAAAAATAATGGACCTTTACAAACCTTCTACCCAGATGCCTTGAAGTGTATATAACATAGTTTTAAAAGTTGCTTTCTAAAGAAATAGGACAGTCACTTGAAACAAGAACAGCAAAAATGCACTCAACACTATCCCAGTTCAGCAATTCTGGAATCAAGGGTTCAGTATTGAGTGTATGAGAAACTTTCTTTAGTTACTACTTACCTGAGTCAACAGAGATGCTTCCAACGAAAAAGCACTCAAAGGAAGACTTGGTTTGACTGACGTGCCTTTGGGCCAGCCGTAGAGTTTTTTCATTGATATATACTCTCACATTCCTAGAAAAATTGCCAGAAGTAAAATTAATAAAAAGTTAACTAGCAATACAATGCAAGTGACAAAGCATATATGTGATAGTAAAGGCTGGTTTTCACGAACATTGGAGTCGTAGTTGGAGTTGTAAGCTGAATTATAAAAGGGTTATGACCAAGTGAAAATCAGAAGTCGGAGTCATAAGCAAAGTCATAAGCGCGACAGAATCGGAGTCAAAAGAATCAGAACATTTCTATTTCTTCCAACTCTGCTTACGACTCCGTCACTTACATTCCATTTATGATCTAGAGAAAACCAGCTTGTTGGAGTCAGAAGCAGAAGCAGAAGGATAAACCAATCACAATGCACATTGCCAGGCTTTGTGATTGGTTTAATTCTTGCCCTTCTGCTTCCGACTACGACCATCTGGTTGTCACTACATCATAAGTGGACTGTAAGCGACGGAGTCATAAGCGGAATGGAAACGCTGTTTTCACTAAACCATAAGCTCTATGCTTCTGAATACGGCTAGTGAAAACCAACCTTAACAGTCCAATGAATTTGATGAAGTGTTAGTGGTGATCTGTATAAGTAACTTTTGTACTTATTCATCTGTTACACTCGCTTACTGGCTGAGCAATCAGGCCTGGGCAAGTTGTCTTTTAGATTAAAAAGTAAACTGTAAACTGACAGAGGTACACAAACTGCCTGAGACCTGACTATCAATAATAATGTGGCACTTACCTCTTTGCTGTCAAATGGAGTGTTTCAGACTCCCCTTGGGCAGTTCTGTTCCTGATAAAAATCAATAATAAGGATTTATTTAATACAAGTCACATGCTTTACTGATTCTCAAACTGTTTCCTCTTCATCTATTATAGATAGTCACTAAGGCTATCAAGCAACTTGTCCATCCCAAACTACCGGACGAGACTTATTTCAAGCCCTGTTACATCTTTCTTGCATTATTTTTTCAATTCTTACAGCAATGACAACAAGCTCTGACAAAGATTAGATATTACGTTAAATGCATCTTTATGGTTCATTATCAGTAATATTTACCAAAGTACTGATGGAGTTACTGGAAAATTCAGGGGTTCTACAGTGATGCCATTTCTTTGCATTCTGAAAAAACAAAATATTCAATTAATTCTTGTTGTTTTTTGAAACATGGCAGGGGTAAGATTGGGCTAGAACGTGACCTTGCAAGTTCTTCATGTTTTTGACTTGCACCACCCTGCCAACATAGCCTTTTTTTGTCTTCTTCTTAACCCATTCGCTCCTAGAGATTTTGCCGAAAAACACATTTTGAAGCTAGTCGAGTGGTTTTCTGGTCACTGTCGTGCTATTAAGAGATAAAACTTACCACCCACTGGTTTACAGGTCGAACACTTTGCGGCCTTCTGATCCAAATGCAAAAAATTAATATGAGCTTGCGAAGTTCGGGCATGCGCACAAAGCAAAATTTCGAGATTTTACTTTTCGCTTTCTCTCCTCCCTTCTTTTTTCGCTTTTCTTGCCTCATTTTTTTTTCTCTTGCTCTGCATTTAGTAGGCTTCCTTTTGGTGGGAAGAGTTTTTAGGAAAGCTTTTAGGATCTTAGGATTAGGTGAAAGGAAAGGTAGGTGGGTAATGGAACAAGATTTTCATGGAGATTTTCAGGTCAATGTCACGTGGTTTTTTGCTTGTTTCTCCAGTGTCCTTGACTGAATTGTGCTCATTCTGGTATGGTTTGAAAGATCTCTTCACTCTGCACAAGTTAGCGAAGAAAGTTGTCCTTGACTGTTAAAACTGATGACGTCACAATGGGTAGAAAGGACCTGGATCAGCACGGGTGGTTACGGGCGGTTCAGGGGCGAATGGGTTAATCAGAAAACCTAAAAATGGCCTTTTACCAACTTTTTCACCTGATTTTACATGAAATAGACAGATTCGGTTGTTTTATGCTGAAAAGTGGATTTTTTTCTTAATCAAGGAGGAGAAAAAGGAGGCTCGGCCTGAATTATCTTTGAGGCCGACACAACCCAAACTTCTGGACCAATCAATCTTGTTTTCTCTCATCAAACTGTTTTTGTAGTGTGAGTATCTGTTTATTGATAAAGCGATAGGCCTGAGTTTGAAACTATTATATTAGTAACATGTCATGCATACTCCACAAAGATCTTACTCCATTCCGCGCGAGTCTTTCTGGAGTATGCAAAAATCGAGCAAGTAAAAGAAAGGCTCTGCTAACAGGGTAGACTTGCACCTGCATTGACCCCCTTTATCCTTCCCTTTTAAATACAGTCACACCTCCATCTGCGACCACCTCTTAATAAGCGACCACCCATCAAACGCACCAAACATTTCCCAGACAAAGCCTTAAATTTGAAACCTCTAGTAAATGACCATTTCCTGTAAGCAACCGCGACCACTTTTGAGGCCTGGGAGTTTAATGATTTTCCGGTGTTCTTAACCTCTTGTTAGTGACCACTTGATGCCTTCACTGATCTCTACATGTATGTTCACTCTGCACTATGCTAATAGAATATGTGAAGAACTTTAGTAAAAACATGGAACTTCACATGGCATAACATAGGAATTGTGTGCAATAGATTATCTTCCACCAAGTCAGGATGTGCCCAAACCTCTTCTCAGAAGAGACCCTGTCCTTGTGGTATGATTCTTGTAAGCAACCACCTCCAGTAAGCAACCACTAAGTTGTTTCAATACAAGTTTGTTCAATTGAGTAGTAAATGGTGCCACGTACTTAGCTTAAAGAACAAAGAATATTCACCCAAAATGTTTTTCTTGTTCATGAGCAAACTATAGTTGAAATGATCAAAATTTGTGTGACATTTTGTCACCTGAGCTCGTATCAAAACCACCAGTCTCCACTTTTTGATTGTTTTATAAACTTAGGACATTAAATGTTGAAGGTGAAAATTACATAGTTAATGATATATGAGATAAATCATAAATGAACTGCTGAAATGAAATGAAAATGAAGAAGTGATCGTCGCAGTGAACGCAATTTATGCAATTGCGTAAAGAAGCCTGAAAAAAATTTGATTCCCCGGGAACATATGAACCCACAATATTGACCTGCTCCCAACGTCAGTGGCTTCACAGCTCAGTTGGTAGAGCATCGTATCGGTAATCGCGAGGTCACGGGTTCAAACCCCGTTGAAGTCCTGAATTTTTTTCAGGCTTCTTTAAGCAATTGCAAAAATTGCGTTCACTGCGACCATCATTTCTTCATTTTCGAAAATTATATTCATGTTAAAATGCTTTTGACCAAGGTTTATTCTGCTGTTTATTACGTAGTCACCTTAAATATTCTTGATCTTCTGATGAAGTTGCCACATCGTTTTTGCCAGCAAAAAAAGATGACAATTGGCCTGCTGGTTGTCTGTTGACACACGTCATTTCTTCACAAAATCAAAATGAAAAGGAAAAGGTAAAGAGAAAAATTATTGGTTAGAGAGAGAAAAAAAGGGGAAAACACACAGAAATAATGTTATTATATATTCTGAACTTCTTAACAACTGATCCCCCTGGATATCAAGAATTTTCGTCTATTAAATGTTATAAAAGTCACGGATCAAGTCAAGAGTAGATCGAAGTTTGACTAGATTTTTGAGTGTACGGTAAAATGACACGATTTGAGAAAACCTTCATTCAAGACTGTATTAGACAGCCTCTATATAAACTTAAGTTTAATAAGCCTATTAAACTGCATGAAAGCAAGTACTTGTATGTACGGATAACATGGATCCGAAATCGGCATGATCAAGGGCACACGAGATTGTGTGTACGATGGCCGCAAACAACATGATCAAGGAAATATTGGAGTCGTTATTTAGTTATCGTAACACTCATTTACTATTTACACCGTTATCTACATTACAGAGAGGATTGTTTCTGTTTTTGTGGGTAACAAACGTAAACTTGCATGTTGATTTCCTGGCATCGCGATCAAAACAATCTTCAATCATGATCGTGGCGCAACAATTACTACCACGCGTTGCTGCAGCCCTGCGCTTGCAGGGAATAGCCCTGTTGTAGGGTAAACTTTCTAAAGGATTGTATAAACTCTTCTGCAAGCTCATAACTTACTTTTACAGAAGTGGATTCATCCTAGCTTTAAATCAGCGTAGAATTTGAACAGCTTCTTCGAACTGTTGATGTTGAGAGATGCCGCGCGAATTTTCATAAGAAATGTGTCGAGTGTTTTCATTGGTTGTCTGATGCCCAATCAACGGTTAGTTTACATTTTCATCCCGTCCTTCAACATATGACGTCACTGGTGCTATCTTTTCGAGCTTTCAAGGAATCACATGCAGGATTTTCTTTAGTTAAAAAATGGTTTATTGCAGCGCCTTCAATTGCAACAACGATGGAAAAAAGATGAAGCAACTGAGCTTTTTTCAGTTTCCTTCTGATGAGAAATATCGTCAAATCTGGAAAGAGAAAGTGAGACGATTGAACTGGGAACCGAACAAAAATTCGAGGTTGTGCTCAGCGCATTTTGAGCCACACTGTTATGCCACTCACCCGAAAGTTTTCGAGTCTCTGGGCATACCAAAGCCGAAAAAGGTATTATTGAAGCACGATGCTATTCCAACGATCTTTGATTACGAAGACAGGTCGACGAAACCGAAAAGCGAAGCTTGTGAACGGAAGCACGAGGAATCGAAGAAATCAACGTCTAACAAGGGACGGAAAATGTTGGAGGTACAAATGTAGCAGTATGTAGATGTTTGCACTTAAGAAGTGTCACGTTGTAGCGGTTTTTCGCGCATTTTTGCACTATTTATTGTTTTCAGCTATTTCAACGAGTATAAAGACGTTTTTGTTCATTTTTGCTCGCTTGGACTCTTGTCGTAGTGTGGACCACATCACCTGGTCGATCTCTATCAATCTCTATCTCTATCTTATAAAACTTCTGAAATACATTTCATATAGCTTTCCATGTCCAATGATCTCTTCGTTAAAGAGGCAAATCAATGTTTTACTTTGCCACCAATAAACTGTACTACTCAACCTTGACGGGCAGAAATCTTGTACGTATTTTTTTCGACAAACATTTTCCAGACTACGAGCTTTTGCCACTATAAATAGCATTAGCTACGTCATACGCCTATTGAGCCCATACATAGATACTGGCGTAAGATTAGCTATAATAGTGTAATGAGAAGTTGATCCAAATCATGACTTTGGTGACCAGTTTCTCCCAATGCTGTTGTCAAGCTGTAATATTCTTCTCCCGCAGGTAATAGACTTCAATTCTCTCTTGGATGATTATTTAAAGGGTCTTCAATCTGAAGAAGACCTGAGCTCATCTGGTGCTAAAAAAGGTGCTTTATATATGTCTTTGGTACCTTTAAATTCCCTTGTTTAAGTCCCTCCTCCCCATCTGCAAATTATGGAGAAAGCTACTACTCTCGGAGGGGGTACTCGATATCCTTGGGTGGGAAGGTGCGGCCGGGCTCCTCATACCCTGACCCTGTTTAAGACAAAAATCGCTGATTTTCCTACCCCGTTTAAGATGGAATTCTGATTTTTTTAACCCAAAACCATACCCTGTGTCAGACAATAATGAATATCGAAACTCTTTCCTATTTAATCCATTGGCAATCACAAAACTATTTTAAAAGACACCCTGTTTAAGACCAAAATTGATAAAATCGATACCCTGTTTAAGACAAAAAATGATAAAATCGATACCCTATTTAAGACGAAAATCCCGCAAAACATACCCTGACTGGCCGCACGTCCCCATTAGGCCCTTATAAGGGAGTAACCCCCCCCCCCACCCCACCGGGCTACTACTACAACGGCCACTTTATGGGCAGTGAAAAGTGGCCGTTGTAGTGAGGTTCAAACAAGAGTCAATGTATGGACTGTCCGCCCACCCAAAAAAGTGGCCACTGTAGAGAGTTTGCTGTTGTGGAGAGATGGTCATTAGTGGAGGTTCGACTGTAAATCCTCATCTCTTGCAATTTGGTCTTTAACTTGAGGAAACCTGTAAAAACTGAAACATAATTAATTTTTAGAATGTTTGTGAAGGTACATTTTTTGATGTACTCATCACTTTTAGTTCTGATAAGAGCTTGTATTCATGTCATAAGGGAGTATTTAAAATGATCAACATGTTCAACCAGGTTTTAAAACTGACGTCCAAAGTTATTTTTATTTTTCATTTTTACAGGTTCTGACGAGCTTGTGAATGAAATTGTTCCAAGTTCTTCTCCATGTGAGGTAAAGATGAAGTGTTGTAACAAGAAAAGTTTGCTGGAGTTCTGTTAGGATAATTCCAACAAGCGAGCCTTAAACTAGTAATAATAAGTTACGGAGTGTGGGCGACAACGATCGAAGGTCAAAACGCTTTTGCTCTAACACTGTGCCTTGTGCAAGTTTTCACATGACGGATGGTCAAAACATGCGTGATCAGATTACGAGTGACAGGAGGCCCAAACAAGAATGACCAAATTGCATTCTGTGCATTCCATTAAATTCTTTGTGGAAGTCCAAACTAATGCTGGCTACATGTGTGTGACACATGCGTAATATTTAATAACACCTGGAGACTAGGATTGTAGGCTACTCTTGTCACCCACAAACAGTGACATACATGTAAGAGAGGTAGCCTGTGCAGCAGGTGCTATGAAAGAGTGAGGGGACTTCCTTTCCCCTCGCATGTCTCCCCTTCAATTCTGTAGTCATTGCTTTAACTCCTTATTTTCGAGACAGTACGGAACTTTTGATTAATCATCATTACCTTACATGAAATGTCCCAGAATTTTTTATCAATATTTTTATGGAGCCTCTTTTGGAAAAATTATTTTATTTTCTGTAAATATTATTCTTATATTTAGTAGTTTGGTTGGCAGTATTTCAATTAGTGTCCCCTATATAAAGTTGGTCCTACCAGGTCAGCTAGAAGACTATAGACACCTAAATGAAGTCCATCATCATCATCATACTTGCACACCCTTACTTTCTTGTGCCCACTATGTCCTAGCTCTATGCAGGCTATGTTTTTACCGTTAAACCATAAGTAAATTTGTCTCGTAGGGTGGTGATAAATTTGTGCTGCTTCTCAACCAGCCTTTACCAGAAGAAATTGATGAAATTGAGCGATCTCTGTTGTGTGTCCGTTTTGGTATTGCACATGTTGTCCCTGTTACCCTGTGGGAAGAACAAGTTATCAGAGGGGAACACATACCAAGTAAGTGATGCGCGATGGTATCTGGGATTTTTTAAAGCTGGAGTCAATTTATTAAAACTTTTACAAGTGTAATTTGAAAGTGTACCCATTGTTTTAGTGCCTGAAATCAATAACCACACTTGTAAATTACACTTGTATTTGCCAAAGGATTTGTTAAATGTTGTCCCGTGTAATTTGATTTTTGTCAGTTGTTGCTTTGATACACAAAAGAATGTATTGCAATAAGCTCCGATCTAGCATTTAAATTTCCTTGCATACAAATACTCCCCCATGCAAGTCGGTCTAGGCCTCTAGAGTAAGAAAAATGGTACGTAGGGAGCCCTTAGTGTTCTGAACCTGCGAGCATCCGGGGTGCCCAACCGGAATAACTAAACCACATGTACATCTTTTTTTACATTTTGTTTTCTCATTTATGTATCTGTGTCAAGAAGCAAAGTTGCTCAAAATAAATCTTTCCTGTATTTCAGGAAGTGAAACACCTGGTTTAGTGACTGTTCAACTTGAAACCAATGATGGTAGAGTTCTTGGAAGCACACAGTTTACATACAAGGAAGAGATCTGTTCTGGATTTCAAAAGATTGTACGCAGTGCAAATTATCGAGGAAAATTCATTAAGGCATTCTCCAGTAATGGACCCAGCAAAGAGTCAGTGACCACAGAACGAAATGAAACAGAAACAGGTAAAATAAGACCAGTCTGTTCACTTTTTATCAATTTTTGCTGCAAGCCCCGGGTGAGTGTCACATTAAACTTTGGGTTTCCTGTGGTTTCTTCAGCATCCCGACGCTATATAGGCGTTACAATCTGGACATTAAAATTTGTCTCAGGACGGTTCTTAGAAGAAATGGATAGTGGTAATTAATTATGTATTAATTTGAAATAGTAACACACCTTAACTGAATCATTCTTATTGTGCTAAGTTTTGCATATTGTGGCGCACGCAAACAGTTTCAAACTGGCTAATAATGACCCAGTTGCAAAGAACTCATAATTTTAGGACACCCTTGTAGTGGGCTTTATCCCTCAATAAAAGGGTCTGTAATTAGCAAAATGTGTACTCCAGTTCATCGTTCCTCTGACAATATTTTACTGTCCAGCATCTGCTCCCATCATTATTCTTACAATTTGTAACCTCTAGTATAAAATTGTAACTTTCTTTATCTGTATAGATGTGGTTCTCACGACACCATCAGAGTCAAGTGTTGTGCTCACCAGTATATTGAAGTTGATGCTTTACATAGCAGCTAAGTGTCAAGTCAGTGACTTTGTGAAGGATCTTTTCAAAACGGAAACTGGAAATGCACTTATAAAGTCTTTTAGGGAAAAGGATCCTAACCAAGAGTCAGAGACAGATCTGAAACCTACTTTGAAGCAAAGGCTGACAACTTGTCTTGAACAAATCTCATCAAGGTAAACAAAGCTTTAATCCATATTATTGTAATGGAAGTGACTCATCTGCAGTCGTTCATGTATTCTTACATGTATCTCTAGGGTCTGGAAAGGAGGGATCCGATCCCACGTTCTGAATCCTTTGTGACGAGAATCCTGCTTCTCGAACTTCTGTCACTGCTATCGCGAATAACGTTTTCTTCCCAAAGCGCGCAGTCAAATCCCTATCCCGTCGACGTTTCCTGAATCCCACGTTCTATTTTGGTGAAACCCTGGATCCTGGAAATACTCTTCCAGACCCTGTATCTCATGGAACATGCAGCCAGTGATCGGTCAGTACTGTATCAACGGCTACAATAGTGGTTAACAGTGATCGAACGTTGTAATATGTCAGTTGTCTCAATCGAGGAAAATAGTGAATTTCCCAGTCTTTGTGGCAAAGTTAAAAGTGGTCTTCAAGGAGAAGGAAATAGTTTGGTAACCTCTATAAAGCTACTATACACTTAGGAAGGCCCTATGAGTGTCTGCAACACTTTATAAATGTAACAAATCTTCACCTTTTTTCA